TGGGGCTCCACGGGCCTTTGAGGATGTGTAGGGCCCAGGCCAGGACTGGAGCTCCCCGGGGCAGGGATGGTGCTGCATCTGTTTACACCACACATGTGTGGTGAGGTCTCCTATCTGTCAGGCGCTGTGCTGGGCACTAGAGATGTGAATGGGAAAAACAAAGTAAAAACAAAGCCCCTGCCTCGTGGAGGCCACATCCCATACGGGAGAGAGAGTCAGTGAGCAGATACGTAATATGTCGGGGGTGGAGAGCGCTGTGAATAAAAGGGAACAAGCAAAAGAAGACAGAGGAATGGGGGCGGTGGTCCTGTCTCTTACTGGGTTGCAGGGTGGTGGGGGGGTCAAGGATGGATAAACATTTGAGCAGAGACAGGAAGGAAATGAGGGAATGAGAATTGTGGCTCTCTGGGGGAAGAGCATCCCGGTCAGAGGCCCTGGCAAGTGCAAAGGCCGTGAGGTAGGAGCCTGGCGTGTCTGGGGAGCAGGAAGGGTCATGTGACTGACATGACGTGGGTGGGGGTGGAGCAGTCGTAGCAAATAAAACCAGGGCAACAGCAGGGGCCGACTGTGAGGCCCAGTCGGAGTGCGGACGTGGGCTTTTACAGAGCGAGCTGGAAGGCAGGGAGGGTGCGGGGCACGACGACCCTCACAGTCAGGGGGGCCGGTGGCGGGGGGGCGGTGGGCGCAGCGGAGGGGCCCGGGTGCTGGGCCTGTGTGGGAGGTAGAGCCTCCTGGGTCTCCTGATGACGGGCACGGCGACGAGGGTCACACAGGGTCAGGGAACACGGAAGTGGTGCTTCCGAGGAGGACGGGGCTGCAGGGCAGTCCAGGAGGAACTTAGCACGTGTCTCCTCCGCGCAGCCTGCCCTCCCCTCGTGTGTCTCCCGACGCCTCCTGCCCTCTGAGCTCTCGGCTGCCCTCAGGCTGGATGCTGGACGTGCCCGTTACCCCGGCCTCCGCCGCCCATTCTGCTGCTGCAGAAAGAACCCGAGTATCCTCCTTGCTGGCTTCCCGCCTTCCTTTCCTGTTCCCTGCTCCCCCGCCCCCGCGCCACGCAGCCAAGTGGCCATCGGAGTGCGTCCTCCCTCTGCTCAGCCCCGGGCCACCACCGCCGGGACGTCTGTTGTCCTCATGGGGCAGGCGCTGGCCCCACTCCCCTGGCCACCTCTTTTCCTGCCCGCCTTGGGGCCTCGGGCCCGCTCCGCTCTTCCTCTGCCTGGAGCCCCTGCGGGTGGTCCCTTCTCCTCTATCTGGTCTCAGCTTCAGTGCCACCTCCTCAGGGAAGCCCTCCCTGACCACCCAGGAGTCATTAGGTCCCCAGTTAGTCCCCCTCACAGCACCTCCCCGTGGTCTTAGGATTCTGCCTTTATTAGCTGATGGTTTAATTAGCATCCCCTCACCTGCAAGCGGTCAGTTCCGTAAGATCAAAACTGTGTCCGCCGCCCCTGGGCCGTTCCAGGGCCTGGGCCGGAGCTTGAGGGAAACTGGGTGACACGTGGTGAGTGGGCGTGTGGGTGGCGCCTCGGCCCCTCCACGTGGGTCTTAGTGAGGATTTGGTGAGGGAGTTGAGCAGGAGTGTCTCTCGAAGTTGCCTAGAAAATGACAGGAAAGCCTGTTGTTCCCGCCCTTAAGCTGGTGAAACTATCCACATCTCCTCGTTAGTGTCCTCAGTGGGATCTTGTGTTCCTGACGTGGATCCGGGGCAGCTTGGCGGCCGATGGCGTGGTGCCCCGCTGCCCGTCCCCGTCGATCTGTTTCCCAGCTTCCTGTCTGGGCCCTAAAATCTTGATTTGCACAGTTATTTGTCTTGCTGCTCTTCACGGCGCCCTCTTAGGGCATCTGTATTATTTCAGTCCTAAGAACGTGAGCTCCGTGGGGAAGAGAACATGCTTTGAATGGCGCCTGCTTGACCCTGGGCCTGGGGGCCGGGGGGACCATCGGGTGGCACGAGGCCTTGGTCACCCTCAGGGGAGGCCCGTGAACACGCGGGCCCCGCCCAGGCCCCTGCGGGTCTGGACTCCGAGCTCGTGCTCTGCCAGCTGTGCTCTCACCATGAGGGGCGCGTCTCTTCTCCCTCCTGAGGGGCTGCCATGGGCCGGCTCTGTCAGCAGCCCTCCATGCCAGGCGCTGGGGGTGCAGCAGCAGGTGGAGCCTGGCCCTGCCTTCAGGGTCTAGGAGGAGAGATAGACACATTTGATGGACAGAAATGGAGAAGTCAGACAGTGCCGAACGGTGTAGAAGACGTGTATCCACTGGGCGGACACATCCACTGGGTGGACGTGCACTGGTGCTCAGTTTACCTGGCGGAGGCAAGCGCTCACTCTCCTGTGACCCAGCAGCTCTCGTCCAGGCCTGGGTCCTGCAGCCTTGTCCCCACACCTGCACCCTCAGGACTCCTGCATAGGAGGCGACCCGTCACACCACACCCAGCAGAAAACTGGAGACGACCCAGGGGCTCGTGGCTGGGAGACTGGACAGGGGCCTGTGTGCATCGCACGGTGTCACGACAGGTGAGCTGCAGGTGCAGGCAGCACGGGCACCAACTCCCAAGTTCAGAATCTCACAAAACAAAGCAAGTTATCGATTAGACACATGTACTACATATGTGGTAAATCTCTACACAATTATAGACACGTATCAATAAAAAGAAAAGACACGTTACACGCCAAATTCAAGAGAGCAGTTCCCTCCGGCTGGGGGGCAGGCAGGAGAACTGGCTGGGGGAGGAGCACGTGGCGAGACAGACGTTGATGGTAATGTTTTGGTTTGTATTGTAATTTAAGTCAGTAAATGCACGGAGGCAGGGACTGACAGAGCTGTCAGCCAGCAGTGACCACAGAGAAAGTCAGGTTCAGAGTCAGCCGAGGAGAACAACCAGCTCTGTCCAGAGTGGGCAGGGAGGAGGTGCCTGGGGAGCTGGGGTTTAGGGATGGATGGGAATTTGCCAGGTGGAGGTAGTCCCAGGGAGAGGAGCCTCAGGGGCAAAGCTCAGAGGCGTGTCTGCGGGGGGAAAGCGTCAAGCCTCCGGGCCGGGCCGGGGCTTAAGCGTTGCGAAGAGCTGTCCAGTGGGCCGTGGGGCGGGAGGTTCCAGGGAAGGCCGCTCGCGCTCGCGGGGGAGCCAGGCCAGCAGGAGTCCTGGTGGGGCGGCAGAGGGGGTGCCCTGGGTGGTGGCACCGATCCCCTGTGGAATTTCAGTTGGTCAAAGGGGCTTCCTCATCACGACAGTTCCACCCACAAGGTTTGAAAGTCACGCTGTAGGAGATGGGAACCCTTGTAGAGGCTGGTGCCGAGGAATTGCTTCATCAGACGTGTTAGGGAGCTGGCCTGGAGGGGCTCCGGGGTTGAGGGCCAGGGGACAGCTCCCGGCTCGGTGGGAGGAGGCATGACTGGGTCCTGCCTCGCTGGGCAGACGCTTAGCGTAAGATCATATTCTCCGGTTACTCTGAGGTGCATTCCTGAAAAGCTTAGTTTCCCGTTGCCCCTGTGGACCGTTTCAGAGATGTTTTATGTTTCTCTTTGATTGATCTTGCCTGTGGCTTTTGACACTGTGCTTCTCACTTTCTCTGCCCCCTGACCTCCTGGTCAGGTCGTTAATGGTCTTTAAACAAACACGTAAGTATCAGGCTCTCCAGGAAAGGACTGGGCTCCTGCGGCTCATGTCAGCACAGCACCCCCTTTATGGGGAGAGAACGGGGGCTCCGCACGCCCGACCTCGTAGGCGGGGTGCTCGCGACCTGAAGGTCAGAGCTGTCTTTGGTGTGATGATTTTTGACGGCAGGTTTTCGGAAATCGATTTCACGTTTCTCTGCTGCGCTAACCAGGGGTCCCAGCACAGATTTGATCTTATCACTGCGACGTGGATCTTGGCGTAGACGTTTGTTCATTTTGTGAACGTTTGTTGGGGCCTTTTCTGTGTCTGTTCCTGATTTAGCAACCGTGGGTGCAGAAATGTGCTGGTGTGCCGGTCGGCGTGATGGTTTGGAAACAGATCGGCCGCTCCTTTGCCATCGCTCCTGGTGACGTCCGGCCTGCTCCCCGGACTGCAGGGCCTCCCCCCACCCCCGCCTTTGCACCTGCGGGTCCCCCCATTTAGAGTGGACTTTCTCTGGCCTCCGCACAGCTGGTTCTTACGATGGGGTCTCGACTCAGACATGGGCTCCGCAGAGATCTCCCTGGCCTCTGACGGCAAAGAGCCCGACTCTCCCCACCCCCGGGCCGCCTCCGGCGTCGCCATGTGTCGTTTCCTCTGGAGCGTCTCATAAACAGTATACAGATTATGGTGGTATTACTTACATGTATCTATACACAAAAATGTTATGTGTCAGTTTTATTTATATTAATATAAATTTTGTTAATATTAATATATTTGTAATGTTGTTGCTGTTTCTGGACGCTAAGCTCTTTGAAAACGTAGCTGGCTCTGTCCCACTCCCGGAACAGTGCCTGCCACACAGCAGCCCCAGGGGACCATGTGTCTGGTCAATGAAGAGCCACTCTGCCCTGGAGAAGCCCGCCGGCTGGCAGCGGGCAGGTCCAGAGCAGGCAGTGACAGCACAGCAGGCGGTGTGGGCCAGGAGGGGCTGGGGCAGCACTGAGGAGAGGCAGCAAGTCCTGCCCACGGGGGTCTGGGCAGACTTTCCAGAGCAGGGGTGTTTGTCCTGGGCTTTCCAGGCAGCCGGGCATGGCTTGGCAGGCGTGGGGCTGGCACGGAAGCAAACATAAACAGAGGGCTGGGGAAGAAAGCGTGGGATGGGGCCTGGGGGTGGAGCAGGAGAGGGGACCCCGGTGGTGCTGGATGGGCTGCAGTGACCGCTGCCTGTGTCCCGGCCTGGGTGCCCTGCGAGCCTGGCGCCGCGTTTGCAGAGTGGAGCCTGCTCCGTGCAAGGGGCGTGTGACCGGGTGCCGGTGAGTGTTGGTAGCACCGGGACGGGGGCTTCTCCAGCTGGGGCCCCCCAGCCTTGAGGCTCGGCCTCAGCGCTCCCTCTCTTCCTCCCGACCAGGTGGTGAGGAAGGTGAAGTCCATGCAGATGTTCCACACACCCGTCACCTCTGCTGTGCAGGGGGACCGGCTGGGCATCTGTGTCACCCAGTTCGACCCCAAGCTGCTGGAGCGTGGCCTGGTGTGCGCCCCCGAGTCTCTGCACACGGTCCATGCAGCCCTCGTGTCCGTGGAGAAGATCCCGTATTTCCGGGGATCCCTGCAGACCAAGGCCAAGTTCCACATCACCGTGGGCCACGAGACGGTCATGGGCCGGGTGATGTTCTTCAGCCCTGCCCCCGACGGCTTCGACCACGAGCCCGTGCTGGACTCCTTCGACTTCTCCCAGGAGTACCTCTTCCAGGAGCAGTACCTGTGCCCGGGCTCAGTGCCGGCCGAGACGGACGGTGGGGAGGCCGACAGGAGGGCGGGCCAGACCTCCGAAGGCCGCTGCCCCCGGCAGCAGTGGGCCCTCGTGGAGTTCGAGAAGCCCGTCACCTGCCCGCGGCTGTGCCTGGTGATTGGCTCCAGGCTGGACGCGGACATCCACGCCAACACGTGCCGGCTGGCCTTCCACGGCGTCCTGCTGCACGGGCTGGAAGATAAGAACTACGCCGAGAGCGCCCTGCCCAGGCTGCGAGTATACAAGCTGAAGCACAAGCACGGCATCGTGGAGCGGGTAAGCATCCTCCCCCTCCCTCCCGCCCACCGCCCTGCCGGGTCTGACAGCCAGGACGGCCTCGGAGACCTGGCTCCGGCGCCTGTGGTCTCCAGACAGGGAGCAGGCGGGAGTGACCTGCGTCCTCTCCGCCAGGTAGAGCCAGGCTGACACGCAGGCGGGGCCCATGAACCCGCCTGGCCCGCCTGGTCAGTGCAGGTGGTTCCTTGGGTGCCCCCCGACCCCCTCATCTGTGCCCGCAGCCCTGCATAGGAGCCCATGCCTACCAGGCCACAGGTGAACGTGTGGACGAACACGCGGGCCTCACTGTGTCCCTGTGGCGCATGCTCGTGGGGGTCAGGCATGGCAGTGGTGGTCCTGGGACTCGACCGGCTTCCGCTGACTCAGGGCAGCAGTGCTGAGACCCCAGTGTCGGGGAGCTCAGGTTCGTGTGGGGTCTGCCCGGAGGCTCCCAGCAGGCCCTGTGGTTCTGATCCTCGTGCCGCTGAGGAGGGTCACCCCTCCTGGTCCAGCCCTGAGTCAGTGCGGGCGCCAGGTGACAGGAGGAGGCGTCCAGGACCTGACGGTGGGTGTGCTGGGTTTTCCATCGCTCACGCCGTCTGGTCTCGCCCCTCCCCTGGGCCCCCGGGTGTTCTCCTCCCACCCCACCCCTCCCTTCTCAGGATCCTCCCTGGCTGCTCAGGCCCTGCGCCCCTTCCTCTGCAGCCCCATGGGGAGATGAGAAGACGCCCTTCCTTACCCGCTCGCAGGTCCAGATGCAGGATCCTCAGCCCCGTGGGCTTGGGCATAGCCCTGCGGCCCAGCCAGCAGAGCCAGGGCTCCTGTGTTGCCTCATGCACACCCTGGAGCTGTTGCACACGGCTGCCCTCCGCTAAGTTGCTCACTCTGTGGGCCCCTGTTTCCTCATTTGTAAAAATCACATGGACGTGGAACTTCCCTGGTGGCACAGTGGTTAAGAATCCGCCTGCCAGTGCAGGGGACACGGGTCCGAGCCCTGGTCTGGGAAGATCCCACACGCCGCAGAGCGACTAAGCCCACGAGCCACGACTACTGAACCCACGAGCCGCAACTACTGAGCCCGCGAGCCAGAACTACTGAAGCCCGCGCGCCTAGAGCCCGTGCCGCACAACAAGAGAAGCCACGACAATGAGAAGCCCGCGCACCACAACGAAGAGAAGCCCCCGCTCGCCACAACTAGAGAAAGCCCGCGCTCAGCAACGAAGACCCAAACACAAACAAAAATCAATCATTCAATCACATGGACGGAGGTGGGCAAATGAGGGCTCATACCTGGGATAGTAAATGCCCTGCACCGCCCCACGCCTCCGACTGCTGCCACAGCCCGGGCCCAGCAGCCCCACCGCCCCCTGGCCACGGCAGCTTGCGTAGTTCCACCCACATCACTAGAAAACAAAGGTGTTGCACCAACTCCCACTCACTCACCTCTCCAGGCCACCGGGATGAAGACAGCACTGCACCCTCACGTGCATGGTGGGCCCAAGGCGTGGTGGGCACAGGCAGGCCGGCGGGCTGGGCGGGGGCTGCCAGGGGACCCAGGCGGGGGCGAGCAGAGGACTGGGCATGGCAGGTCTCCCGCCGAGGCCACAGGGACCCAGCGTGCATGGGCTCCAGGCCCGCTGGACGGGCCCCTGCAGGCCAGGCGTTGGGTGAGTCTCTTCCCCTCAGTTTCCTTGCTGGAAAAATGGGAGCCGTGCTCCCCACCTCTCAGGGCGGTAGAAGGAGGGGAGGCCGCTGTGTGTGAAGTGCTAGCGCAGAGCGCCGGGCTCGGTGCTGTTCACTTGGACTTCCCTCGCGGCGCGGCGGCCCGGGCTACCAGACGACTGCACCTTTCTCTCCCCCGTGGTGGGGTCAGGCTGGGCGTGCCGACCACCCTGGGCCTGGCATCCACTGGCGCCGGACAGGGAAGGCCTGAGGGCATGGCCAGAGGAGCCTGTGGCCTCTGCCCAACCAAGGGTAAACACGCAGACGCCACCAGGAGCGCTGGCCGGCTTTGAAGTCTGAAGCGGCACTGCCTGCTGGCTCCCAGCTCTCCCCGCTCCACTGCTGATGGCTTGTTAGACGTGCCCGGGGCACCAGGTGCGGGCCGGCCTGCGACTGCCTCTGGTCAGCACGGGTTCCTCGCCATCCGGCAGGCTAGGCCCCCCAACTCCTGGAGGAAGAAATGCTGCGGTCCAGCCAGCCGCTCGGCCAGCTCTGCTGCCCCTTGCCCCCCACTCCGCTCCCAGGCTGCTCAAGGAACAGAGGTTCTTCCTGCAGCAGAGGCCGAGCGGGCCCTCGCCTGGGGAAATCCGATGGCTGCCCACGTGTGCTGGCCCAAACCCAGGCCTCTCTCCTGCCGTCTAAACAGCGTCTGATAGCCAAGACTCTCCCTCAGCTGCCGAAATGCTCATTGGTCCCCCTTTGAAAATTGCCTTTTTTGTTGCTGTATAGATGCAGGGTCAAGGCAGCTGGACACGGTGGAAAGAGCTGGCTCTGGATCTGATGTACTGAGCAGGTGCTGCTGCCTCGGCCCGGCCGCAGACCAGTCACACCCCTCCCCCACCCCCGGAGCCCATCGCTGCTTTAACGGAGTTGGTGGGGAGCTGACGCGACCACGCGTGCGAGGGCCTGGCGTGAAGCGAGCGCCCAGCAAAGAGTTAGCCTCCCTTTCTCTCCAGGAGAACGCAGCTGCCTCTGGGGACGGTGCCTTTGTACCTCCTCGTCAGCACCGGCAGGGACTCTGCCTGCGTTGGTGCCTGGTGACGGGAACAGAAAGAGGGAGGGAGGCTCCGTGCGTCGGGGTCGTGGGCCGCCAGGCTCGTCACTGCCAGGCCAGGTGCCCGTTCGGTGCTGGGCAGGCCCAGTTTTGAGGAAGATGGCCTGGTCGGCCTGGGAGCGGGCGTGGCACAGTCCCCCTCGGGTGACACCCAGAGCCTGGCCACCCGAGGCCTCCCCGCCTGGGCCTGTGGAACTCGCTTGACCAAGTGAAACAACTTGAAGGCTAATGTCCGTTCCTGGGTTTGCCCCAGGAGATAACAAGGGGTGGATCGTTGCCCCCCAGTGTACTTGGGCATCAGACACGCCTCGCCCTGCGCTGGGGGAGGAAGAGATGCAGTCTTGGCCCCTGGTTTCTGAGGCCGGGCATCGTCGTCCAGGGGCCTGGGAGTTGTTCCCGGTGACTCCGAGGGCCCATTCGCGGCACAGGTCTCCCCCGCTCCCGTCCTCCGAGTGTTGGCTAACTCGCTCTCGAGGTTCTGGGTGGGCTAGAGGAGCCCCCGCCGCAGGTACTGCTTCTGTCATTCTCCCAGCTTCATATTCTGGTCATCGAGGTTCTGGCCGCTGGGCAGTTGTCCTGCTACCAGGTCTCAGGTGTTCTTGCCAGCACCAACACCCTTCATCCTAGCAACAGCCTTTTCCAGAGGAAGGAACTGAGGTTCAGAGAAGCCCCATGCCCCGGACTGCAGAGCTGGAGGAGATGGACCAGGGCCCAGCCTTGCCAGCCCTCTCTGCTCGGGGCTCCGCTTCACGGCCAGCCGCCCCTGTCTCCTTGCTGCCGCTTCTCCAGTCTGAATTAGAATAGTCGCTCCAGAACTTGGGCAGTTCCCAAGCCTCATCACGGCAGCCGGCCCTGAGAGAGACACACACGTGTAATGACATAATTACGTGCGCCGCCAGCCAAGTCCCCGCTCAGAGGCCGGGGACAGAGGGGACTCGCCTGGTGTGGAGGTGAGGGCCCGGGCTCTGTGAGCGGCAGTGACTGCTCTTGGGGAGCTCGGCCTCCAGCCACCAAAGGCCAAGAGACGAAGCGGATAGCTCACGCAGACGGTGCGCGCTTCCCTGGGAGCTGTGGCTGTAACCGTGTGGCGGCTCAGCGTCGCTCCCGGGGAGCTGCCGCCCGCAGGTTCCACGCACGTTGCCTTTGGCTCCTCGTCACGGCGGTGGGTTCAGAAGGAAAAGCCTCTGGCTAGTCTCAGAAGGTCTTCCTTGGTTGGATGTGCTGGTGTGTCTGATCTCTGAGGTCCCTGCCTCGGCTGGAAGCGTCATCTGGAGAGGAGCTCAGCCCTCAGGGGCACGCACGTTCCAGAGACGGAGGGGCTGAGGTTCACCATTTCCCGCAGCCCGGACAGATGCCGCCTCTGGTCTTCCTGCAGCACTGCAGAGGCCTCCCCTCTGACCAGCGTCATGAAATGAGGGCTCCTGCCGCAGCCGTTTGCTGAGCCCCTCTCACGGCCCCACCCCCTGTAACTACTGGAGGGGTGTGTTCTGGGGGCGCAGAAATGTGCACCTGCCACTCCCGCCAGTCCGGAACGCTCCTGCGGGGACATTGCAAAGGCCTGGCCGGCTGGGGTTTGAGTTTCCACTGTGCCCCTGGCTCTGGCATTCGCGACCCGCTCAGATCTCATCCCTGAGCGCAGCTCTGACCTCTGCAAAGTGGCCGTGGAAATCCCTTGCAGACAAGGGCTCTGCGAGGGCTCAGTGTGACCCACTGGTGCCTCAGTCCGCACAGGCTGGGGTCTCCGAGGGGCTGGGGGTCGGGGGTCTCCGAGGGCTCTCCTCCCAGCGACAGGCAGTCTCAGCGGCCAGGCTGACCTCGGGACCAGCCTCTGGCTGTGGGGAACGTGGCATGGCTGGTTCAGAACCATTGGGTCGGTTCAGCCAAAGTCCTGGCACCTGCCGGACCAGGCTGGGCTCCTGACGAGGCTGGGACAGAGTTCCACGTGCAGGCCGTCCTGGGGGGGGTGGGTACGGATGGGGATCCTGCGAAAGCGATGGGGCCACCCTGCACCATTGGGGCTGGTGACGTCTGCTCGCCTCGACTCCCCTGTGCTGAGGTCGGAGGAGCTGCCTCCGCTCAGTTCACCCTGCGGCCTTGCCGGATGCCCTGCAGCGGCAGCGGGGACGCCCGCAGACGGTGCGGTGCGGAGGGCCGAGCCGGGTCCGGCCACGAGGGGAGCCCTGTGCGTCTGGAGGACAAGGAGGAGGTCTCGTGTGGGGACGAGACTGAATTACAAAGGGCCGTGCAAGTGGGAACGATGATTCTTACCATTGCCCGTATCCGATTCATCCATCACTGGGGAGAGGAGGAATGCACGTACCTTTCATCTAGCGCTATGAATCAAACGGGATAGGATATGTTTTTCCAAAAGGTTTTGAGGGTAAATGGGACAGTTTCTGCTTTTCAAAACAATCCATCCATTTGGCCCTTGGCCGGATCGTGGCATCTTGGGCAGAAGCAAGATGTTTCTGAGCCTGGCCCCCGGGGGCCCCCAGGAGCGGGTCCCACCACTGGCAGTACGTCCGGCCTCCACGCGGCTGCCCGAGCTGCTGCCTGGTCGGACTCCATGCAGCTGCCCCAGGCCGGCGCACGGGGCCGGGAGGGCAGGAGGAAGCCTCCCCAGTCTCTCCCGTGGCCCCCTAGTGGGACCCGGCATTCTGAGGCCTGGTAGAGCTGGTCTTTACACATGCGTGTGCACACACGCCCCCTCCCCTTCTCTCTGCACAGAGGCCTGGCACCTTCCTGGCACAGGCCCTGGAGAGGAGCCTGGCAGGTCCAGGGAGGCCTGCGCCTGAGCCGCCAGAGGCCAGGGCTGGCGGGACTCACGCATCGCCTGCCCCGAGCTCAAGCCCTTGGGAGAAGGTTCCAGAGGAACACAGCTCGGGGCAAAGCCAGGGCTGCCCCAGGCCAGCTTCCTCACACACACGTGTGCCTCCACTCAGCCTGGGCCTCCACGTGGACAGCCGCGAGCCAGGGGAAACGGGGCTCCAGCAGGGAGAGCCGTGGGGGCACTGCGGAGGTGGGGCCGCGGTCTGCGGGATGGATATGGACCAGGCCAGGGAGGGGGGCCCTAGGCTGGGACACACGTGCGTGTGGCGGGCGGGACGGCAGAGGCCGGGTTCTTAGAGCCTCCTCGGTGCGGGGGATGCTGGAGAGAGGGTGGGCACCATCCCCTCAGCCTGCAGTGCCGTGAAGGCTTTCCTGAGGAGCGCTGCCAGCCTGGGGACAGGTGGGCGGGCAGCCGTGCAGAGGCGGGCAGCTGCGGACTCTCGTCACCTCTGCCTGTGGACTCTGTGGCCGTGGACGGGCAGTGCCTCCCCCTCCCATCTGTCAGGTGGGAAGTGCCACGTGGACGAGCCGAGCGCGTCCAGCCAACCAAGTGCCCACAGCCGGCCTGGTGCAGCCCAGGCCCATCTGGTGTCCGTGGGGGGGAGTGGCAAGCGGGCCCGGGCACCACCCGTGACACAGGCGGACCGCCTGGGCAGTGTGGCAGCCCAGCCTTTCCCAGGCACTAACGCTCTCTCCGGGGCTGGGTGTGGGCGCAGGTGATGGACGACTACAGTGTGATCGGCCGCTCGCTGTTCAAGAAGGAGACCAACATCCAGCTCTTCGTGGGGCTCAAGGTGCAGCTGTCCACCGGGGAGCTGGGGGTCATTGCCAGCGCCTTCGGCCAGAGTGGCAAGTTCAAGGTCCACATCCCTGGTGAGTGTGGTCGTTTTTTTCTGCTCACGGGAGCCGTGCAGGGGAGGTGGAGACGGCGCCCAAACGCTGGCCCTCGGCTCAGGGTCTAGGCCCGCCCATGCCAGCACTGCGGGCTCAGCCCGCGTGGCATCATGGCTTCTGGTCCCGCCACCTGTGGCTGGAAAGCCATTGTGCGTCCTGGAGGAGCCTGGTGTGGACCCGGCATCTGGTCCGACCGCCCACTGCACCACCCCGTGACCTGTGCATGGACGGGACAGTGCTGCTCAAACAGGCGTTTCCGAGGGACACGCTTGGTGAGGGAGACCACCAGGGCTGGCACGCGGCCCCGGAGCCAGAGCGTTGCCCAGGACGTGCGTTGCCACCTCCTTTCCTGCCTCCCGCCCGGTTTGAGGTGGGACTTGTCTACGGTGGGGTCGAAGTGCACGTCTGCTGCTGGGACAGAGCACCCAGGTGTCCTCAGCTCCACCCCTGTCACTCCTCGCAGCCCAGCTTCCTGAGGTCCCGCTGGCCAGGTGTGGTGGCCGTGGTCGGGGCAGAGCGAACCCGTGTAGGAGGTGTGGACTGTGAGCTGAGCACGAGGAGAGGGCCGTGGACGGCCGGGGGATCCCAGGAAGAGGGACAGCTGAGTAGGACCTGGCCACGGGGGGCGGGGGGCGCGCAGAGAGGGAGACGCGGAGGCCCTGAGGACGGGGCGGGGGACGGAGTGGGGGGCCTGCAGAGCCCCGGGGCAGGCGAGGACGGGCCCGAGGGGTGCTTCCGTTAGCGGATCCGTGGGGTGCACACGCGTGCCTTCACACCCGCACGTGGCTATGCTGCTTGGAGCTGCGGGACTAGGGGATGGGAAGCTGCGGGTGGGCTGCATCTGGTGGGCCTGGGGCCTCGGAGCACGGCTTCTCCGGCGGACTCTCCGTGTGGGGTGGTGCCCGCCCGGCTGGGAAGCAGGGTCCTCTCCTGAGAGCCTGGCCCAGCTGTTGCCTCGTGAGACCCCCTCTGGCCCTCGCGAGGGAGGGCGGCGGTCAGCAGAGGCCCGCTTCCTGCGGCCCGGGCTGTGGGACTGTGCCCTGAGGCCTCTACCGAGGCGGGAGCCCCGTCACGGATGAGGGACCCCGGGCAGGCAGGGGTACCCGTGGGAGTCCAGCCACAACACCGGGCTTCAGGCTCCCATCCTGTCCTCCCCACTGTCCCTCGGCCACTCCTGCTCGGCACTTCAGCCAAACTGGGCCCCAGGGAACACGTGCAGGCCCATGTCCAGACCTCAGTCCCCAGGGCCCCAGCCTGCACATGTGGGGCCCTCTGAGCACTGGGGGGTGAGAGCCAAGCTGCCTGAGGGGAGAGGCCCACCCCGGGCGCCCGCCCACCAGGCCTCGGGGCCCTGCTGGTCCACACAGAGGGCGGCGTCCGTGTCCTCTCCCGGGGTGGACGGCATCATGCCGACCTTGCCCTGCTCCCCTTGCTCTAGCCCGAGGCAGACTCAGAGTTGGGCGTCCCAGAGCAGGAACGTGGGAGGAGGCGTGTTTGGGGCCCTGGGTTCTGGGGTGGGGCAGGGGCCGTGGTGACGCTGCTTCGGGCAACTCGAGTTCACATTCCTGCCGTAGGTCAGTGTTGCCTGTTAATAGGTCTGCTTCCTGTTTGTGGCTCTTAAGCTTCTTATTAAATATAACTGGTCAGATTCCTTCATCCCACCCACTCCCACTCCCGCCCTCCCCGCCCTCCACCGATGCTGCTTGTCTTTTCCTGCCATCCCTCCCCTAAAGGATTACTTTTAACCTTTTGGGAGTGCTAATTGTGAAAGAATCTTCAGTAAACCGGACGTCCGGCGCCAGGTGGCGCAGCGGCGGGACTTTTGGCCCAGGTTGGGGACGAGCCAGGTCGGGAGCCCGGGGTTTTGGGGCTGCACACTTGTCGGCCCCCGGAGCAGGGGGCGTCTGGGGGCCCGCAGACCGTGGACGGGGCGGCGTTCAGTGTGGCGTACGGGCCTCCCGCTGGCTCTGCAGGACAGCCGGCCAGAACGGCGACTGAGGAGCCCTCTGGGTGTCCTCCCCTGCCCCACCCGCAGGCCCAGGTGCACTGGGGCCTCTCATCTCGGAGGCAAGGCCCACAGGGCCAAGCCGGGGTGTCAGAGGCCGGTGGCAGGCGGTAGGGAGTGGGGGCAGCGTGGTAAACAGGGACCACTGCTCGGGCCTCGCTGCTCCCATGCGATGGGACGCAGGCCCAGGAATCAGACTTCATCTGGTTCAATTTTTATGGAAAATTTCCTGATTGAAAACTAAAACTGTCTGAACTAAACGAACCCTGCCTTTGGGCTGGGTTTGGCCGTAGTGCCTTGTGACTCCTGCTTGGATTTCTGGAAGGACACTTGGGCCTCGGGGTCAGGAGTCCAAGCTGAGCCGTAATACGGGAGCAGTGTCTTATGGAGCCGTCACTGCTGGCTTCCGAGACAAGGGTCCTGACCCTCGAAACCAGATGGGCTAGAGGGACGACCCCATCCTGACGCCCAGGGAGCCTTCCCAGAAAGTCCTCAAGGTTGGAAGGCCCCCACGTTCACACAACTGCTCCTTCAAAAGGGTTCTCTCCGTTTGTAAGCCCCGGGGGCCGGAAGCCCTACGAGACGAGTTGGGGACCCACCGGGCAGCACTGCTGGTTCTCGAGGGTGGTGGGAGGATGTTGCTGGGCAGGGACGGCTCCTCCGGACAGACCTGCCCCTGTCCCGGCACCGCACCGCTGGCGTCGGGTGGCCCTCGGCCGCTGCCTCTGAGCGACCCAGAGTGCCTGCACTGTGCGGCCAGCGCCCCGAAGGGTGTGAGCAAACTAAGCGGGGGCAGGGGGTGGCGTGGAGACGCGGCAGGGGCCGCTCGGGGAGCGGGGCCTGGGGGTCCACCAGAGGCAGGTCTCGAGTAAGAGGCTGACTTCATTTGATTCGCGATTTTAAACGACCCCCTGGAGAATGGTTTAAGGAAGGCTGGAGGGGAAGCGGGACAGCAGAAGTCTGCTGCAGTGCACAAGTGACTGTGAGGTCTGTGTCGTGTGCGTCGGAAGCCCAGGAAGGCTTCCCGGAGGAGGGGACAGTCAGTCAGAATCCTGCCCCATCCGTGGACCGCCTCAGGCCAAGCACGAGGAGGAGGCCGCGCTCCAGGCCTGAGCGTGTGGGCGTGTTTGGGAAGCACAGCAGGAGCAGTGGGAAGGGCCGCAAGCGGGGGCTGCGGAGGGCATGAGGGCCGGGCCTGGGTCACCGAGTCGGGAGCCAGCGTGGTCCTGAGCTTCCCCACGGGGCGGAGCACAGCCTCAGCTCTCAGTGCCCCCACCGGGTGTCACCACACCGTTCTCACGGTGTCCCTGAGGACATGCGCAGCTCTGCACAGCAGACGGGCAGCTCTCTGGTCTGGGCTGCTCGGGGTCCTGCCGGCCCTGCACCGGCCCTAGCCTGGGTCCCGACACCCACAAGGAGAGCCCCGTCCTGTCTCCACAGGTCCAGCTCAGAGACACCATGAGACTGCAGCACCCCCGGGCCGGCGCTGGCCAGGCGTCCAGGGCTCGGGACCAGGTGTTCGCTTGTGTCCCCGTCGCATGTCTTAGGGAGGGAGACTGAGCCTTGGGAACAAGACCCGTAGACAAGCTTAGCAGCGCGGCTGGAGCCCTGCCCACCACCGCCTGGCCTCGTACCCGCTTGGTCCAGCGTGCGGCGAAGCAGTGCTTTGGGCAGACGCCCTGCCCTGTACCTCGCGGCATCGGGAGCACGAGGGCCGGCCCCCGCGGGAGGTGGCCGCAGCCCAGGCGAGCTCTGGAGGAGGTGGGAGTTGGAGCTGGGCCGCTATGGCTCCTCTCAGGCTTCGCACCTGGTCCCGTCTCCAGCTCGTCTGCAGCAGGCCGGGGTGGACAGCCGTGCAAACAAGATCCGGGGAAGCTGTCCGTGGTTTGTTTATTTATTTATTTATATTTGGCTGTGTTGGGTCTTCGTTGCTGAGCGTGGGCTTTTCTCTAGTTGCAGTGAGCGGGGGCTACTCTTCGTTGCGGTGCGCAGGCATCTCACCACAGTGGCTTCTCTCGTTGTGGAGCACGGGCTGTAGGCGTGCGGGCTCAGTAGTTGTGGCGCACAGGCTTAGTTGCTCCGCGGCATGTGGGATCTTCCCGGACCAGGGCTCGAACCCGTGTCCCCTGCATTGGTAGGATTCTTAACCACTGCGCCACCAGGGAAATCCCTGTGGTTTATCTTTAAGAAAGAGGAGTTTAAGCAACAGCCGCTGTCCGGGTGGTGGACAGTGGTCCCTGGATGTGGTCGCTCAGCTGGGGACCCTGCGGGCCGCGCCGCCTCCCCACAGGCCTCCCATGTTCCGAGCCCGCTCAGGAGGGCAGCTCACTGCGTTCAGAGCCTCCATTTCCCTCTGGTGAAATGGGGGTAGTCGTCCAGTTGCGAGGGGCTGTGAGGATCAGGCCAGTGCACAGAGCCACCCTGATGGCCTGCCGTGTGTGTGCCCACGGGCTGCGGGCCGAGGCCACCAGGTCCTGCGGTCGGCCACACTCAGCTCCACACAGCACAGCCACGATAGAATCAGGTCGGGCCCCGTATCTGGCCTCCGTTGGTCCAGGCCCTTGATGCGCTGCCTCTTCCTCCTGCTGCAGCCCTCGCCCCGCTTCCCTGAAGGGTACGCGGAGGCTCAGAGGATCTGGACGCCTGGCCCAGCAGACCCTGGAGTCCCCATATGGAAGTGGGTGCTTCTCATGGGCGCTGCTCCACTGAGAGGCTTCTGGAAACCCAGTGAGGAGGCAAAGTGTAAACTCGTCTTGGTGCCAAAGGGAGGGGGCCGCAAGGAGTCCTGGTTGTGGGTATTGTCGTGTTCCCATAAATAGGCCTTTGGACAACGGGCATTTGGGCTGCATGTTCCGTCTGAGGTTTAAAATGAAACTGGTTTTCTTTTCCTGTAAAATGTGTGGTCCCCACACACATCCCCAGCCACCCAGTCTGGTTTCCCCGGCGCTCCCAGGAGTGCCCTGCAGAGCCCTTC